GTTATACTTTTCACGGCCATGGTCAGCTAAACAAGAACCACGGTCAACCTAGCTAACAATCACGGCCATGGTCAGGCTAACAATCATCGAACCATGGTCGTGTTAATTCCATCACGAACGTTCAGATTGAGTCGTGGTACTATAATTTAAAAGGGGGAAGTGAATATACGATTCTTAGCCTCAACCTAGACTAATATACGAACGAAAATATTAAAAAAAAGGGGGGGGGAAATTGCGAATTCTTATTTGCGTTCCAGATTGAGGCTAAAATAGTAATTTACCCCTTCAATATTATATTCCAGATAATAAATTGGGTCAATTGGGTCAATTTTTTTAATTGAGGTCATTTGAGCAAACTATAAACTTTTTCAGGTTATCTATGTCAATTTCCCTTCCATTTTTTCTTCTCCCACCTAAACTTAAGTCTTGGGCTAGTTTTGGCCAAAACCATTAATTGCCAATGTGGTCAATCGATCAATTTTGCAAAAAGTTTTTAAAAACAATCGAACTCTAATCAACCAACACACTACGACATTTCTATCTACACCAACCTTTAAAACTTTAATTATAATGGTTATAGACATTTCTATCCACACCAACCTTTAAAACTTTAATTATAATGGTTATAGTTATTTTTTAGCCTTGTCGAAATTTTAGACCATTTTACTAGTTTTTTTTTATTTGTAATTACCTTGATAGCAGCGCATTCTTTTATTTTTTTGAAAAGAAAAAGTAATTTTCTAAAAGATTAAAGATTAAAAAAAATGGTAAATCTACAATGGGCTCATGATAATGTAAGAATATCTCATTTGCTTGAACAATAACAACACATTATGAAGAATTTAATCCCTTGAAAAAGTTGGGAGAAAGAAAGTCTGAGATTTCAGTGCCGGAAAAATAATATTTTTTCTTAAAAATAAGAAAGTGACTAACAAGATAGGATACAACATTGTGTCATCGTCCAGAAAAATAAATACAACAATTTAGGCAGATCAAAAATTGAGGACAAAGAATCATCAGGCATGCTTTCTGCCGAAACACCAATCTGAGCAGAATCCAGAAAACTTACAGAGAATCATTGCCTGGTAGTTCTGTAGAGGACCCTGCCGCCATTGATGGCTGTCATATGCAGAAACAAGCAAGTGAAGATGGGTTTAGAGCCTCTAAGGCAATGATATGCAGCTACGAGGTCGATGGGGGCCTCTCTTTTCTTTTACGTGCCATGGACGAATCATTCAGTTGATTATAATTGGCTACACTCATTGATGCACATGACTCTCGATTTTTAGAACTTTCAGCATTCACCAGGTTTTCGGAGGCTGCAGAAAGACCTGGCCTGGTAATGCACAACCAAGTTCTTTCTGATTCAGAGTCATTGCCTGCGATTGGAACATGCCAGGATCCTGTTTCTGATTCCTATAACGAAGTTGAGATAATTAAAGGGTCATTTGATAACGTTACCGTTTTTTGTTTCCAGAGTTTGAAAGACATATATGCATTTGGAGTAGAACTATTTACAGTTTCTCATTGCTCATATACTGGTTCAATTGATAATCATTTTAATGATGGCTTGGCAGTTTGTTTTGCAACCTATTCCAAAGGAACTGTTTCAGCTCTTATATTTTAGAAACGTTTTTAAAATATCATTCAAAGTTCAAAAAATCTATTTCCAACGATTTTCATCTAAAACAAAAAAAAAAAAAAATACATAACTACAAGTAAAAAGAATGTGCAAATAATAAAAGTCGAGGTACAATATGAGGAAGCAAAAGATACCTGAATTACTGAAGAGTAAACGGGAGGCATCTCAAGTCTCAGTTGACCTTTAACAAAAGTGTAACGAATCTGCAAAAACACGGTAGAACGATGCATAAGAAATACAAATTTTGCCAAGTACTTAAATTATCTGCAGAGTAAGTTTTATGAGAACACATACTTGATGTTTCTCTTTCCACTTGAGAAATGAGTTGCTTCCCAAAAGCTCAAAAATATGATCTCGCATTTCATCATTTGTGACAAGCAAGCGCTTCAATTTTACAGCAGCGTACAGCCAATACCTACAATTGTAGATGGTAAAAGAATATAAACAACAACAGTTTGGAGGCATCAGTGCTGAAGCAGATCCCGGGTTTCAAGTAAACAGAAACTTGACAAATCACAAATTTTGCATTTGAACCAAGGAACTAATATTATAGATGAGTTTTAGATTTACTAGTCAAGTGCCTACCAATCATCGTTTGAACCAATAGGCGTTGTATACAGAACACCTTTGTTCATCCATTCCTCAACATGTCTTCTAAGAGAAGAATTATCCAACAGAGTCCTGGTGCGTTTATGGTGCCAGAAAACTAATGGCCATTTCCCTCCGCTCATCTTATATAATTCTTTGACAACAGCATCAACCTGCTCTATTAAAATTTGGAGAACAAGCCCATAATGAATAATGTTTCTCCTATGGAGAACTCTAGCCACGCAATATGCTAGAAATCCAAGAGATTGTTCGAATTAAAAATATATTGAAAAAAAGGACTAAAATATACTTTACAACCTGAGGAAGATTAAATCCAGCTGAATCTGCAAAATTTTGCTGGTAGAGGCCAATATTTGCTCCATCCACAACAGCACCACAATGATTATGTGTTTCCAACCACTCCTTTAATAAAAGGAGATAATATGTGAATGCAAAAAGGAAAAACAATGATAAAAGAAATCCATTAAGAACTCACGACTGCATAAATATTCTTCCAAGAAAACAGGGTCAAAGGGATCTTTGAAAAGTAACCACCAAGATACATACACACATACAACGTAAAACAGGAAAGTCCACAGAGGCAAAACTCAAAATCCTAAAGGTTCAACCATCAAAAATGTTCCTACGTATACACAATTTGGTGATAGCCACACATTGGACCCTCTCTGACAAGCTAGAGATAGAAAGAAACTTGAAATTTTGACCATAAGAACACAATTAAGTACACAAGTAGAAGTTGGCAAACCTGAAAGCTTCTAAAATTCGGCTGAGTCTCTCTTTCAATGGCAAAATCAGCCAAAGACTGAGCAAACTTCTCCGTCTCGTCACAACCAATATCAACAGAGAACAATTGCTCAGCACAAGAGCAGCATTTGCCACTGGAATCAACATTTGTTCTTCTCACCGCCCAATTTCCCTTCCCAATCCACCCCTTTTCGTGCCAACCCCCTCCATTACTCGAAATCGCCTCTCGGATTAGACCCAAATCCCAACTCAATTCACCCACATCAGACGCCTTCTCACTACAAAACCAATCCTCAATAGCCTTTGCAGTGGACTCAGCTACACACTTAACAGAACGTCTCAGTTTGTGCAAATACTCATATACTCTATCCCCTCTCCCTGTCTCTGAACTCACTTTCAAAAGCGCAGATAACTGAGGCTCCTCTAACACCACCTCTGTGGAACCCATGTATTGTTCCACCTCATAAGCCTTATCCACCTTCAAATTCTCACAAAAGTAAAACAATGCCGGATCATACGTGCGCAACCGGGGCGCACCACTATACTTCCCAACGGCCTTCACCAACTCAAACGCATAATCGCCGTCCCCTTTCGCCGCAGCAAGTCTCGCGACGGCTGTGATTGTGGCCTCATTCGGAGCAACGCCGAGTGATTGCAAGTGATTAAAAACACGAAACCCAAAACTGGCCGCGGATTCTTTCAACGACGGGGCAGAAATTGCGGTAGAACAGAGGTAGAGGAGAGTATTGAAGTGCTGCTGATTGAATTTCAAGTTCTCCGAAACTGCAGCTTCGTAGACGGCTATTGCCGAAACTAAATCTTTGTTTCTCGAACAGTGAGTAAGGTCTAAGTGAAACTTGATTTCTGGCGATCGGTTCTTAGCCTTCTTTCTCGCGTTGGGAGAGGCAGAGGAATCCATGGGAGGGTCTGCGGAAGAATCGAAAACAAAATGCCCTAACCGCGGGAATTTTATGGAGCTTGCAAATTGTTTGACCGCTCAAAAGAAATGGGCCGTTTCAAAGAGTAGGTTTTGGCTGCTGTAGTGTAGAAGAAGGCCCTTTAAATTCGCTTGTTAGGGCTGCAAGAAATCAAGAATACTAGGTTTCTAAAAAAAATTCTAAATATTAAAAAAAAGAAAAAAAAACCAAAGCACTCTCTTGGTTGGATATAATCGATTAGTGTTATTATTATAAATGTTGTAAGGTCAGGTGATTGGTTTGTAAGATTAGTCGAGATGTGCCCTAGACACTCACGATATCAAAAGAAAAAAAATATATTGCTATTATCAAAGTTAATCGATGAGGAATCAATTTTGAAAAAAATGTTAAATATTTGCAACTTTGGTTGTTTTTCTAAAAAAAATTTATTCCTAATCACTTTTAGAAAAAATATATATATATTTACAAATAAGTTAAATTACAAATTTAATCTCACTTGTTATATTAACAGATCTCTAAATTTTAGAAGTGTTTATTAGATCGTGTTTAATAAAGTAAGGACCTTTTGACACAAAATTGGAAGTTTAGAAATCTATTAGATACTTCTAAAATTCAAAGACTTATTAGACACTGCATTAACAGTTTAGTGACTTATTAGATACTTTTAGAGTTCAACTTATTTGATATACCCTTAAAAGTTTAAATACAAAACTTGAAATTTAATATTTTTTTATTTATTATAATTTTATAATAGAATAAACTCAAACATGAATTCAATTATATTATTCTAGAATAAGATATTTTAAAAACAATGTATGTTTTGTATATATTATAAGTTTTTTGCATATTACAAATGAATCATTTGTAATATGTGAAAATTATTAAAAAAATTATGTTAAAAATTATTTAAGCATGAAATTTTGTTAGATTTAAATACAATTGACACGTTGAAAAATAAAATTAGAAATTATTTAAGTATGAATAAACTTTGAAGTTAAAAAATAATAACATCAACTATAAAAGAACCCAAAAACAATAATGTAGGAAAAAAAATAATTAAGAGAATAAATTTTTAGTTAGAAGGGCGACATATTACGTAACAGAAATCATGAAGTATTTTTTTAGGCTTTATATATTAATATTTTGTTATTGTTTTTGATAAAATACCAAAAAGTAATTTAATAGGCATGCTAAATTTGTATAAATTTTAACCTACTAGAAATCAATTCTATAAATTCGAATGATGCACAAATATTATTGGAAACAAAAATACTGTAACAGTAATTATAAAAGAATAAAAAAAATAACAAGTAAGAACATAAAGACATGTAACAACTTAGTTAAAATAGATTTACCTCTCACTTGAAAATTGTGAAAGAAATACAACTATACAACTTCATCAAACACAATGTATCTCAAAGTATGATTTATAATTTTGATAAGTTTCTTTTCAGATTGAAGAGGCTTTAAATGAAAGTAAAGAAAATGAAACTTAAATTATCTGTTTTAAAGAAAATGAAACTCAAATTATCTGTGAAAATGGTGGAAGAAAGTTTCTTTTTTATAGTTACAAAAATTTTATAGTCCCTTTTTTTTTCAAGTTCTATAATTAATTATAATTAAAGAAAACATCTTTAAATTAAAAAAAAATAGAGGACACAACTCTTTTCTATCACGCTGATTAGTTTCCATATATTCTCATTCACTCGAAAGATAAATGCCTATCAATTATAATTTGTTTATTGAAATTTTGAATGAAAAATTAAGCTAGTTTTTAGTATTCACAGCTTAGTAATTAATTAGAATAAATTTATTGAATTATAATAATATTTTGTTAGATTGTAATATTTTAAATTTATTGTGTCATTATTAATGAGTTATAATTGATAATTGATGAGAGAAAATTAGAAATTACCCTTTTGAGATATAAATTAAATATATAATTTATTAATAATTAATAATTAATTATAATTGTTTGATCAAGAAAATGATCAAATCCACTTGCTTCAGATCGGTTAGGATGAGCTGGATAGAGAGCTCCGGACGCCGTGCACAAGACCTGCAAAACAGAATAAGCACTCTGATGCTAAAGTCAGCAAATATCCAAATCAACTCACGATAGAGAATTGGGTTGTTCACGTACCTTGAAATGAAGCGGAATGGTTCTATTTATAGGCAAAGTCCCCGACAACGTTCCCGACAAGGCCTCAACGGCTCTTTAAGGTTATCGTGAAGTGCGGCGTGATGTCGCGGAGTCTGTCGGAGAGTAGGCTGAGCCGAAGTGGTCCAAGTTAGGTAATTGGTCGGCTTAGCCGTCTAATAAGGTCGGTTCGACATGAGAATTCATGACCAAGGTAGATACACTTGCAAAGGGCGACACATGTGTTGCTGAACAGTCAGCCATAGCATGCCACGTATAGGTTGAGAATTCACCTCCAACATTGACCCCCACTATGCTGAGGCACCTTGACGGTTCAGCTCAGTGATATCGTTGAAGAATATGGTCTGCGGGTCATCCGAACGATTCAGATGGAATATGAAGGGGTCGAGCTGACGTGTGATGACGTCACGCCCAGTTGTCTTTTGGCGGGATGGAATCTTGGCCGTTGATTTCAAAATTGACAGACGGTTGAGATGAGACCCCCATTTTCTATAAATAAGGAGATTTATTTCTTCATTTGTCCTTACTTTGAATCTTCAAATTCTCTCAAATTCTCCGACTCCCGAATTGCCTCGGCTCGAACAATTCTCTAGGCCAGTTTTCTTGTTTAGTTCTTATGAGTGAGTCGTCTTCGGAATCGGGTAGAATAATCTTTAGGGCTTGTAGTGGTCAGGTCGAGGGTAACTTAGGGCCTATGTTAGAACCATCGTCTAGGGCCGAGCTGAATACAAATATGGAAGGGAACATAGGTGCTTCAACGTTTGGTCGAGCCGAACCTTAGGAGTAACTTTGTTTTATAACTAGAATTAACAGAGACACGAATCACCGATTGAAAAGAAGATGGTGATTTGTCTTCCATACTAGGGTTTTTAAGAGAAGGAGATGAAACGATAAAAACAGCAATTACAGTGACTTTACGACCCTGAGGCTTGCATTTTCTTCCCAAGAGTATTGTTAGATATCCATAAATGAATTAAATTTACCCAACCCATCAACTTAAATTTTTGGGTTGAGTGGTGGTTTATTCATCATTAACATGGTACCAGAGCGGGAGGTCCTGTGTTCGTAAAAGGCCAAATCAAATTTAAAAAGTATATATATTTTTTGTCAATAAAATAACCTATATAATTTAATGAAATTGAATACAAGAATCATGGACGTAAATTCTCTTATAAGTAAAGAATTACCTTTCATGTATTACTATATTCTCTTATAAGTGAAGAATTACCTTTCATGTATTACTATGTATTCAATCTACTTGGAAGATTACACTATAYGTGGCTAATTATTGTTTTATAAATGAACTTCTAATGTCCATTCATGGTCTTACTTTATTTCAACTACCTTACTGTCATTCACCAAATTTTATGTAGACAAACAAATATGATACTGGAGTTTTTCACTATCAAAATATTGTAATAAAAAGAGTGTCTCAATTACATAGAACTGAGTCTCATATGACCTACATGTTATTTATATAACTTAGGTGCTAATCCCTTTGTCAATTGATCTGCAATCATTGACTTAGTGTCAATATGTTAAATGAACATCTCATTAGACTTAACATGCTCTCTAATGGTTAAGTACTTAAATTCGATGTGCTTACTTCAACTTCCATTTTTGTTATTCTTAGATACACGTAGCGGAATTGACACAATATATCTTTAATGGCCTGGAAATAGAATCTACTATTCCAAGTCTAGAAATAAAACTCCTCAGCCAAATAGTCTGTGATGTTACTTTATAACAAGAGATAAGCTCAGCTTCTGTAGTTGATGTGGCTATTAGTATCTGTTTTACACTTCTCCAAGAAATAGCTCCTTCGGCTAGTAAAAAGACATATCTTGATGTTGATTTTCTGCCATAAGAACATCCAGCAAAGTCTTAGTTTGAATATCTAATCACTTCTAAATGATCAGAATTTATGTAAGTAAGCATGTAATCTTTCGTTCCTTGAAGATAAGACATCACTTTATTTGCAGCTCTCCAATGATCCATGCCTATGTTACCTTGATATCTTCCCAACATTCCCATTGCAAATGTTATATTAGGTCTAGTACAAACTTGAGCATACATCAAGTTTCTTACTGTAGAAGCATAAGGAATGTGTTTCATCTGTTTCCTTTCAAGGTCATTCATTGGGCATTGACTCAAATTAAATTTGTAACCTTTAATCATAGGTGTCAAACCAGATGAATAGTCTTTCATAAAAAATATTTCAAGAACTTTATTGATATAGGTTTCTTAAGAAAATCTTAATAGCCTTTGAGCTCTGTATCTTTTAATTTTTATGCCAATTACATAAAAAGTTTCACCCATATCTTTTAATTTTTATGACACTTCATAGAATAAGCCTGAATCACTTGCAACATGCAAGATGTCATCTACATATAGGATTAAGAACATGATTTTGCTTCCATTAACCTTATGGTATATACATTGATCCATAATATTTTCTTCAAAACCAAATGAAGTAATGACATCATGGGACATTAAATTGTTGGCTTTTTGGCCCTTAATCTCAAATTAATTAATTAATGTTTTGATGATAACAAAGTTAATTTTATTTATTGACATTTTTAGTATTTTTAAAGTGTCCACAACGTAGAGCTCGTTACAACAATTCCAACAACTATTGGATAATCCAAATCGGAGCTCAAGTAGAGAAGTTACGACCGAAACAAGTTAGAAGGAAAAATATCCGAGAAGATGACGTGTAGTTCGTAGGCTGACAAGTGGCAAGCTTACTTATATATATATATATATATATATATATATATAAAGAAAAGAAAAGGATTTTAAAAAAAATCAAAATCAAAATCAAAGTTACCGTTGTAACTTTTGAAAAAAAAAAATTCAAAGTAACCGTTTTCTCAATTTAAACCCAACTCCTCCTTCAAAATTACATACAATTCTCTTATTTTCA